TTTCAGAACTAATTGATTGAGCAGCTGCTCGTTCGACCACCCAAAAAAGGATTTTATTATTTGACCCATATCGACATAAGAAGTCCAATGGGGGCAATACTCGAATAGCAATCCATAAAAAAACACCAAATATTCGATCAATAATAAACAAAGTTATAGCCAAAGGAAAAGGCATTATGAATAGCTTAGTCAAGGATATGACTTGAGATAGATGGTCGAAACTAAATAAACGAAATCTCCTATAGATGGAATAAGATTCTTTAAAAAAGTAATTTTGTCGTATGCTAGAGCTTGAAGAACTCCAAAAGGACCGGTGTATTCAGTCCAATACGACCTGTTGTATCCCTGAACAGCGATTCTCTTTTAAACCATACAATTGCTAGTTACACTTATAGTAATTCCTAATATCAAAATAAAAATAGGCACAAATACCAAAGAATCCATATATCTCTTAAAAAATTGCAATCTGAAAAAAAAATGTATATCTGGTATTTCTGTGTTAATCAATTATCATTTCAACGATCAACTTCTCACATAATAATAATATGACTACCTGTTATTGTCATAATATTCGGCCAATTTCATTCTTTTACTAAATGAGGAAGAATTTGCCAATTATAAAACCGGGCGGATTTGAATTTCCATCTCAAGGAAAACCATTTGATCCCCTATTAGAAAAATCCCTTAATTCTCCCTGGGCTTCAATTTCTTACATAAAGTTCTGTTTTGGCAATTCAAAACTCGGGGAGATTTTTTATAATAAACGATACTCAAACTCATTCCATTCTGGCTCTTTTTCTCTACAAAGCAGCGGATTTTAAATTTTTTTTTCATATGGCCCGCCGCCCGAAGTCCTTCCAAGCCTGTGAATAATTTTTATGGATTCTATCATTTCACCAATTCAGAACTAAAATAACGAGACTAATGAATCTCCTTCTTTTTGCCATGAACTTCCCAATGGAAATTCTTCGTCACATTCATAATTATACACTTTACGTAGATCCCATTGTATTCCGGACGCAGAAAGCATCGCGTCCTGATAAACCAAATTAATAATTCTTTTACATCAACCCACCGACGCCCTCAAACCCGTCAAAAAAGAGGATTTCGCACCGTTACGTAATACGTTATGATTTGAATTCAGCAATACTGTATTAAAAATAATCGCAGAAATCGAACATTTAGCTATCCCAAACTAAGGTTAGATCAGTCGCTACCACCTCCGATTACGAAAAAAATTATGATCAGTCTCATACCTGTGGAAGCTTCAAATAGATATATATGAATCTCTCTTTCTCTGAAAATATAAAAAAAGGTGTTTGTGACACCAATATCTGCCATTAAAAGGTCCTAGCCATAGTAGGTTGAGAAGCTATACGGCTTAACTCCAACATTTATTACTGGATATAGTGGCTATTTAGGGTATGTACTTGAATATTTCCCAAACGGTTTTGTTATGAGTCCATACAGTTATTGCCCTTCGTGAACATTATATTTGAAACATAGTAGCCTAACTCGTCCAAACGTGTTACAAAGCATGGATATTGTATAATTGTTCGGTTTTCCGCCTATTTTTTCAATTCATCTGTGTAAATAACCCATAATCTCGCCGTTCACAATCAATAACATCCGCACAATTAGAGTAACAATACGTATAAGAACACCGTGCATTGATGGGTGGTGAGGCACAATATTACTTCATGAAGTCCGTATTTTAGTGGATTCAAGGTTTTTGCCTCCGATTTATTCTTTATGAATCGCTTAAAAAAAAAGTTCATCAAAATTCAAGATCTAAAAATCGAATCATTGAAAATTACTCTTCAATTAACGAATTTGTGACTGCCGAATATTAAACTGATTATTGATTAATTTTTTATACGTATTACATCTTCTTTGACAAAAAGATAAGACAGTCAATCTTTGCCGTTTTTCCCAAAATTTTACGTAAACCTCTCTTTGGGATGAATAGTCTTTTAGGGGCCAATTCAAATGTATGAAGTAAGTCTCGTATTCTGATTGGAAATTTGAATATTTGAAATTCAACCAATCCCGGTTTTTTCCTTTTTTTTCTTGTGAAATAACAGTATAAATGAACTTTTTACCATAAAAAAATAAAAGTTTTTCCTTCTCCTCAATGTTATAGATTATTTGATTGATTTTTTATTGATCAGTTTAATATAATGACACTAATTTGAATTTTTTGATATAAATCGAAATTATTTTTTTTATAACTGAAATCAATCCAATTTAAATGGAAATCAATCCCAATTTAAATAGATATTAGTATAAAGGGAACTAGTTTGCTACATTAAAAAAAAGAGCATTTTGTATTCTTTTTTTTTTTTTTAAGATCTACACATTGAATTAAAATAATGCCATACCAAATGCCGTTTCTTCTATTTAGCCGATTTATCTATCTGAGATAGATAACTAGGCTAAATAGAAGACAAAATTAGATTAACGAATTTCACAAGCGGGATAGAATATGTATCCTTACATACTGAAACGGCTTCCATTATGGGTAGGTTATTAACCAATACCGATGTATCCAAGGCTAAATAAACTTCTAATCGAGATTTGGCCAAAGAAAAATTTTTAAATTCATTAGTTTTTTTTTCTCTTTCTCATTTCTTTTTTTAGTCAAAACTTTAAAACAATTTTGAACTTTATTTTCATTATAAAATATTGTGTTTCTATGCATACTATTTATATTATTTGGATCTAAACAAATTCTAATTCTCAACTATACTAGACATCTAGCAAAAAAATGTTTCAGGAACAAGATTAAATTAAAAGTCTATTTTTCTGTGTTTTGTTACGCCTCTACCGTCGCTGTTGCCTCTGCCGGAAATAGGGTTTCATCCGCCGCTCCAAATCGCGACCTCTGCGTCGCGGGTTCCTCCACCACTTCCACGGCTCGCCTTGCCACCGTCACTGCTTCCTCTGCCTCTGCCTCCGACATTGCTCCAGATCGCGAAGCCCAAATCGCGAAGCCCTAAATCAGCGTTCAACCTCGCGCGAGTTCTTCTCCTCCGCCTCGGCCACCATCGGCGTTTGTCCCGCAACGGCGAGTGGGTCGCCTCCGCCTCGGCCACCATCGCTCGTTTCTCCCCCAACGGCGACTGGGACGCCTCCGCCTCCGGTACCGTCACGATCTGGAGCACGCGAAACGATCTTCAGTCGCGACGGCCTCCGCGAAACTTCTGTTTTGTTGATGATGTTTTTTGTTGATGTTGTATACTGGACTATGAAGCTTCTCTGTTGTTCATTGTTGTTTTTGCTGTGAACTCCGAAATGTTCATTGTTGTTTTTGCTACTTCTGTTTTGTTGATGATGTTTTTTTTGATGTTGTATACTGGACTATGAAGCTTCTCTGTTGTTCATTGTTGTTTTTGCTGTGAACTCCGAAATGTTTATTGTTGTTTTTGCTGTGAACTCCGAAATGGCTGGACGGCTGAGGACGGCTGAGCACGGTTGAGGACGGCTGAAAAAAAAAATACGTTACTGCCTCGGTTACCTGAAAACCGAGGCATAATTCTATTCTTTTTGACTCGACCAATAACCGAGGCATAAAACTTACTATTTTTTATCTCGTTTGTATACGCCTCGGTTGTAGAACCGGGGCCTGTAAAGAAAAGGAACCGGTGCCATTAGCAGTTACTGTACTAGTGCTAATTGCATCACTTTGAATGAACTTGCGAGCAAATGAATTTCTTCACAACGTCATTCCAAATGAACATCAAAACATTACAAACAAAAAATGGAAGGAAGAATTCTCATTTGGATTATTCATAAAAAATTCTCCTTCAAGAATGACTCCCTTTTATATTGGTATATTTCCTTTCGAATGTTCAGAGTGACAAAGGTCAATCCACAGACTCACTAGAAAAAGTGCAGGATGGATTGAGTATTTTAATTACTAACTCGCTTAGGCTCACGCAACATAATCAACAACACGTGTGGACCAATATCGCGTTGGTCCAAATTTAGCTCGCATTGACTTAAATTCCTAAAATCTAGTAGCACCAACAAACACTTTATGTGTGTTTTTCCTAAACAACTTGCATATTCACTTTTCTTCTTCATTCCATCCAAAAGTAGTTCAGTCATTCGTGTCTAATATATCTAAAAACAAATTTCTCATTCGCATTTCAACCATGTTCAAAGTCATTTCGATTTTATACTTAAAAATTATAAATTATAAAATTATAAATATGACTTAAGACATGAACTTATGGAAAATATTACTTTTAAAATTTTAATTAAATAAAAATAAAGTTTAGAAAACTTTTATTCGGCCTAATGACAAACTCGAGAATCAAATGGGAAAATAAAAAAAATATTAGTATGCATTTGTTATGAGACGAAACAACGAGCTCTTTCCTTACTAAATGCAAAGCGCACCGACCCACATTGTGATTCTTGTTGAATGTAATATATTGTTGGAGGTTGTTTATCAAGCCTCATACCATGTTAGATTTTTTTAAAGAAGATTTATTAAATAGAAATGACACAATTGTGACATGAGTGAAACTCACCTAAGAAAATTAACACAATTTTCAACCAAAAACCTTAATTATAATAGGAATTTTTTTCTTTTTTATAACAATTTTAATACGCTTAAAAAAGTCTTTGGAGAACATTTTTACAAAAGGGTTTAAAGTGTTACAAGTGCAATTTATATTGTAGATGTTTCAGAATAGATAATTCAAATAAAAAATTTATTCTGGTAATTTAGTATTTCGAAGTTTCGGAAACTTATGTGCCAAAATTGTTTCCATTAGTTCTCGAAATATCCATACCAGTTCTTTTTTTTCTTTTGTTTTTTTTTCAAAAGTGCATTCCAAAATTACTTTGTATACTCCTTTGCACCTCCCATAAAATAAACAAAAATAATTGTTACTTGTTTGCACCTCCCATAATATAAAGAAAAATAAATGTACAATAGATAAATTGTGGAGTGCATGAAGCAAAAGACAAGATAATATTATACATAGGACTTCTCAAACTAATTAATATCATTAACTATATATTCATCACTGATTAATTTGTGTCATTTACTAATAAGTAAACAGACAACGAAGTTGGATATCATACATTTTGGATATTAAAACGAAAGGAGCTAATAATAATATCATCGTAATTTGTAGAGCCCTGTTTGTTTGAAGCATAAAATAGTAAAATTTATTTCCAAATCTTTACAGATTTGTCATGGCTGGCAGAAGCAACCATCCCTGTGACGGGTGATTGTGCTAATGCAGATATCACACACTCATGAGCTTGAATTGTCATACTTCTATTCTCAACCATGTCCCATAGCTCCAATGACTGCAATGTATCGGTGAAATAAAATGAGAACATATAAATCATTTTAACAGTTTTAATGAGTAATCAGTTTTAACAGTTTTATTCAGGCTTAATAGCCTCTTTAGTCCTTAATTTTGCTCAATTGTGTCAATTTGGTCCTTGGTTTTAAAAAAGTATTAATTTGGTCTTCACTTATTAAATTTTGCATCAAAATTGTCTCTTCTATTAAATAGAAACAAACCACGTTAAGAATGGATGATCTGACAGAAGACATGACATTTTTAAATTATATACGTGGTGACGTATTTAATATTTTCTTTAATTATAATTAATTTAGATTAATGTTTTTCTTTTAATTATTTTTAATTATAATTAATGTGACAGTTAGCAATGGGTCCACTCCTAAGATCAAATCTTCTTCTTCCAATAAGAGTGTTGCAGTTAGCAATAAATAACGTCCTACTCCTCCATCGAATCTGCCTCACTTGCTCCATCTCCCACTTTCCCACTTCCCCTTCTGCCCTGGTCTCCCTCCCCCACCCTATCACCACCCCCGTTTCCACCAAACCCCTCTTTCTTACGCCCCCTCCAACCCTAATTTCCAGAATTTCAAGAGACCCCGAATCCACTCTACCATTCTGTCCCACCACCTTCACAATGCCCAATTCAGTGGGTTGCGCAAGGCTGCGTTGCGATTTATCCATGGATGTTCTGGTTTGGTTCTCTTGCTTTGCAGTCTGAGGAGGCACGATGTTGATGCGAGATGAGGATGCTCGCGGTGGGGATGGTTTCTACGTTATTAGGGTTCTGCAATTTGGGGGCTCTTTCCGATTGGGGTTTTGGGACTGGTTGTGTTTCCTTGTAGGTTTCGAAGGAGAAGTATTGAATTCGTGATGAATCTGGTGGTTTTGGAATGGACGAAACTTGAGAGGTGGAGGCACGATCTGGGTTTCGTATATGGGTCGTTGTTTACTGGATTGAGGTTGATGCATGTCAAGACATAAAGGATGATGGAGATGGCGTGGAGGAGATTGGAGTTTTCACGGTGGAGAATGGAGGAGAAGATGAACTTTTTCGGGTTCTCTCTATTTTCGTGATTTGGATGGTTGATGGAAGAACGAAGGAATTCTCGAGGTGATGCGTCAATGGAGGTGATGCGATTCACTATGGTTGCTGGACGACACTGGTTGTGTTCTTGAGCATGGTTGAGGATGAATGAAGAGTTGATGGTGGCCTTGGATGGTTACATGAGGAACAACGATTTTGGCCGGCCAGTTGCCACTAACGAAGTTGGAGAAGAGACCGTTTTTGAAAAAGAGAAAAAGAAACCCTAGAGAATACAAAATGCAAAATACACTCCTAAATTTCATCTCTGCACCATTCACTAACACGTCAGCATAAATATATCTACAAAATAACACGTCTTCTGTCCGATCATCAATCTTTAACTCCATTTGTTTCTATTTAACAAAAGGGACAAAATGGACACAAAATTTATCAAATGAGGAACAAGTTGACACTTTTTTAAAACCAGGGACTAAATTGACACAATCGAATAAAACTAGAGACAAAAGAGGCGGTTAAACCTTTAATTTATGAGAAAAGGTGAAGGGTGAGTAACTTTTTTATAATTACTTTACAAATAAACAATAAAAGAAGTGAAAAGGAATAGCAAACAACAAAGTTTCATAGGCACATACATACCTCGTATCCTCCAATAATCAAGAGAGTTGAGTAGCTTGGGTGAAAGACACAAGAATGATACATGTTTCCATTGGAATTAAGTTCATGAATGCATTCCCCAGTTGCAATTGACCACACTTTGACACATTCTTGACTCATAGATGCAAAGTAATCTCCGTTTGGCTCCCAACAGACGAAAGATACATCTGCAGAGTGTCCCTAGAAATGCATTAAATTATCATTATTATCACAAAAACATAGTACAGAAGAATTTTATTATTTACTTAGATTTCTGCAGTTTTGTGTTAACACCTGAAATGTGTGCATCGGCCTACAAGTCTCAACATCAAAGAGAGACACAGAACTCCCACTTGCTGCAGCCAGAAGGTGACCAACCCTCGGCTGAAACCTCACCTGGGTAGATCCTCCCTGCTTGATTAATTTAATATCGTTTAGAATTGAGAAAAACCATAATTCATAATATCTTGATAACTAAAAATGAATTTTGTAAGTGACCTTAAAACGTCTGATGGAAGAATATTGGCTAATATTCCAGAAACGAATCTCATTGATATCATCACAGGAACAGAAAAAATCATTTTTCCTTGGGTGAAAATCAAGGGACAAAACATGCGAAGAATGACCACTATATGCCTGCAAAGAAAAGGTTGGCTGCAAAGTAATAGTGAATGGTAAGTCCAGTAGCATTCAGAAAGCAGATATTATTTTCATACCAAGGACAGAAAAGGAAAGGTCTGCATTCAGAAGAGAATAACTTACATTAGCAGCATCCCACAACCGAACAGTTTTATCAAATGAAGATGTTGCCAGCTGAGTTGAATTCGGTCTGAAGCGAACATCAGTAATAATAAGACTGTGATCCTCCGGAGTTGTCTCTGTTTGCAGTGTCTCCATGTTCCACAGAACAACCTAATTACAAGAAATAGGATGATATCACATCAATACAGAATCATCAACTGCAGCTGATACANCGTGCAATCGCCTTCGCCTCCGCCTCACTCGTAGCACCTCTGCCTTTGTCGTCGCGCCTCTGCCATCGCGCCTCTGTCGTTGCGCCTCTACCGTCGCTGTTGCCTCTGCCGGAAATAGGGTTTCATCCGCCGCTCCAAATCGCGACCTCTGCGTCGCGGGTTCCTCCACCACTTCCACGGCTCGCCTTGCCACCGTCACTGCTTCCTCTGCCTCTGCCTCCGACATTGCTCCAGATCGCGAAGCCCAAATCGCGAAGCCCTAAATCAGCGTTCAACCTCGCGCGAGTTCTTCTCCTCCGCCTCGGCCACCATCGGCGTTTGTCCCGCAACGGCGAGTGGGTCGCCTCCGCCTCGGCCACCATCGCTCGTTTCTCCCCCAACGGCGACTGGGACGCCTCCGCCTCCGGTACCGTCACGATCTGGAGCACGCGAAACGATCTTCAGTCGCGACGGCCTCCGCGAAACTTCTGTTTTGTTGATGATGTTTTTTGTTGATGTTGTATACTGGACTATGAAGCTTCTCTGTTGTTCATTGTTGTTTTTGCTGTGAACTCCGAAATGTTCATTGTTGTTTTTGCTACTTCTGTTTTGTTGATGATGTTTTTTTTGATGTTGTATACTGGACTATGAAGCTTCTCTGTTGTTCATTGTTGTTTTTGCTGTGAACTCCGAAATGTTTATTGTTGTTTTTGCTGTGAACTCCGAAATGGCTGGACGGCTGAGGACGGCTGAGCACGGACGGCTGAGCACGGTTGAGGACGGCTGAAAAAAAAAATACGTTACTGCCTCGGTTACCTGAAAACCGAGGCATAATTCTATTCTTTTTGACTCGACCAATAACCGAGGCATAAAACTTACTATTTTTTATCTCGTTTGTATACGCCTCGGTTGTAGAACCGGGGCCTGTAAAGAAAAGGAACCGGTGCCATTAGCAGTTACTGTACTAGTGCTAATTGCATCACTTTGAATGAACTTGCGAGCAAATGAATTTCTTCACAACGTCATTCCAAATGAACATCAAAACATTACAAACAAAAAATGGAAGGAAGAATTCTCATTTGGATTATTCATAAAAAATTCTCCTTCAAGAATGACTCCCTTTTATATTGGTATATTTCCTTTCGAATGTTCAGAGTGACAAAGGTCAATCCACAGACTCACTAGAAAAAGTGCAGGATGGATTGAGTATTTTAATTACTAACTCGCTTAGGCTCACGCAACATAATCAACAACACGTGTGGACCAATATCGCGTTGGTCCAAATTTAGCTCGCATTGACTTAAATTCCTAAAATCTAGTAGCACCAACAAACACTTTATGTGTGTTTTTCCTAAACAACTTGCATATTCACTTTTCTTCTTCATTCCATCCAAAAGTAGTTCAGTCATTCGTGTCTAATATATCTAAAAACAAATTTCTCATTCGCATTTCAACCATGTTCAAAGTCATTTCGATTTTATACTTAAAAATTATAAATTATAAAATTATAAATATGACTTAAGACATGAACTTATGGAAAATATTACTTTTAAAATTTTAATTAAATAAAAATAAAGTTTAGAAAACTTTTATTCGGCCTAATGACAAACTCGAGAATCAAATGGGAAAATAAAAAAAATATTAGTATGCATTTGTTATGAGACGAAACAACGAGCTCTTTCCTTACTAAATGCAAAGCGCACCGACCCACATTGTGATTCTTGTTGAATGTAATATATTGTTGGAGGTTGTTTATCAAGCCTCATACCATGTTAGATTTTTTTAAAGAAGATTTATTAAATAGAAATGACACAATTGTGACATGAGTGAAACTCACCTAAGAAAATTAACACAATTTTCAACCAAAAACCTTAATTATAATAGGAATTTTTTTCTTTTTTATAACAATTTTAATACGCTTAAAAAAGTCTTTGGAGAACATTTTTACAAAAGGGTTTAAAGTGTTACAAGTGCAATTTATATTGTAGATGTTTCAGAATAGATAATTCAAATAAAAAATTTATTCTGGTAATTTAGTATTTCGAAGTTTCGGAAACTTATGTGCCAAAATTGTTTCCATTAGTTCTCGAAATATCCATACCAGTTCTTTTTTTTCTTTTGTTTTTTTTTCAAAAGTGCATTCCAAAATTACTTTGTATACTCCTTTGCACCTCCCATAAAATAAACAAAAATAATTGTTACTTGTTTGCACCTCCCATAATATAAAGAAAAATAAATGTACAATAGATAAATTGTGGAGTGCATGAAGCAAAAGACAAGATAATATTATACATAGGACTTCTCAAACTAATTAATATCATTAACTATATATTCATCACTGATTAATTTGTGTCATTTACTAATAAGTAAACAGACAACGAAGTTGGATATCATACATTTTGGATATTAAAACGAAAGGAGCTAATAATAATATCATCGTAATTTGTAGAGCCCTGTTTGTTTGAAGCATAAAATAGTAAAATTTATTTCCAAATCTTTACAGATTTGTCATGGCTGGCAGAAGCAACCATCCCTGTGACGGGTGATTGTGCTAATGCAGATATCACACACTCATGAGCTTGAATTGTCATACTTCTATTCTCAACCATGTCCCATAGCTCCAATGACTGCAATGTATCGGTGAAATAAAATGAGAACATATAAATCATTTTAACAGTTTTAATGAGTAATCAGTTTTAACAGTTTTATTCAGGCTTAATAGCCTCTTTAGTCCTTAATTTTGCTCAATTGTGTCAATTTGGTCCTTGGTTTTAAAAAAGTATTAATTTGGTCTTCACTTATTAAATTTTGCATCAAAATTGTCTCTTCTATTAAATAGAAACAAACCACGTTAAGAATGGATGATCTGACAGAAGACATGACATTTTTAAATTATATACGTGGTGACGTATTTAATATTTTCTTTAATTATAATTAATTTAGATTAATGTTTTTCTTTTAATTATTTTTAATTATAATTAATGTGACAGTTAGCAATGGGTCCACTCCTAAGATCAAATCTTCTTCTTCCAATAAGAGTGTTGCAGTTAGCAATAAATAACGTCCTACTCCTCCATCGAATCTGCCTCACTTGCTCCATCTCCCACTTTCCCACTTCCCCTTCTGCCCTGGTCTCCCTCCCCCACCCTATCACCACCCCCGTTTCCACCAAACCCCTCTTTCTTACGCCCCCTCCAACCCTAATTTCCAGAATTTCAAGAGACCCCGAATCCACTCTACCATTCTGTCCCACCACCTTCACAATGCCCAATTCAGTGGGTTGCGCAAGGCTGCGTTGCGATTTATCCATGGATGTTCTGGTTTGGTTCTCTTGCTTTGCAGTCTGAGGAGGCACGATGTTGATGCGAGATGAGGATGCTCGCGGTGGGGATGGTTTCTACGTTATTAGGGTTCTGCAATTTGGGGGCTCTTTCCGATTGGGGTTTTGGGACTGGTTGTGTTTCCTTGTAGGTTTCGAAGGAGAAGTATTGAATTCGTGATGAATCTGGTGGTTTTGGAATGGACGAAACTTGAGAGGTGGAGGCACGATCTGGGTTTCGTATATGGGTCGTTGTTTACTGGATTGAGGTTGATGCATGTCAAGACATAAAGGATGATGGAGATGGCGTGGAGGAGATTGGAGTTTTCACGGTGGAGAATGGAGGAGAAGATGAACTTTTTCGGGTTCTCTCTATTTTCGTGATTTGGATGGTTGATGGAAGAACGAAGGAATTCTCGAGGTGTTGCGTCAATGGAGGTGATGCGATTCACTATGGTTGCTGGACGACACTGGTTGTGTTCTTGAGCATGGTTGAGGATGAATGAAGAGTTGATGGTGGCCTTGGATGGTTACATGAGGAACAACGATTTTGGCCGGCCAGTTGCCACTAACGAAGTTGGAGAAGAGACCGTTTTTGAAAAAGAGAAAAAGAAACCCTAGAGAATACAAAATGCAAAATACACTCCTAAATTTCATCTCTGCACCATTCACTAACACGTCAGCTTAAATATATCTACAAAATAACACTTCTTCTGTCCGATCATCAATCTTTAACTCCATTTGTTTCTATTTAACAAAAGGGACAAAATGGACTTAAAATTTATCAAATGAGGAACAAGTTGACACTTTTTTAAAACCAGGGACTAAATTGACACAATCGAATAAAACTAGAGACAAAAGAGGCTGTTAAACCTTTAATTTATGAGAAAATGTGAAGGGTGAGTAACTTTTTTATAATTACTTTACAAATAAACAATAAAATAAGTGAAAAGGAATAGCAAACAACAAAGTTTCATAGGCACATACATACCTTGTATCCTCCAATAATCAAGAGAGTTGAGTAGCTTGGGTGAAAGACACAAGAATTATACATGTTTCCATTGGAATTAAGTTCATGAATGCATTCCCCAGTTGCAATTGACCACACTTTGACACATTCTTGACTCATAGATGCAAAGTAATCTCCGTTTGGCTCCCAACAGACGAAAGATACATCTGCAGAGTGTCCCTAGAAATGCATTAAATTATCATTATTATCACAAAAACATAGTACAGAAGAATTTTATTATTTACTTAGATTTCTGCAGTTTTGTGTTAACACCTGAAATGTGTGCATCGGCCTACAAGTCTCAACATCAAAGAGAGACACAGAACTCCCACTTGCTGCAGCCAGAAGGTGACCAACCCTCGGCTGAAACCTCACCTGGGTAGATCCTCCCTGCTTGATTAATTTAATATCGTTTAGAATTGAGAAAAACCATAATTCATAATATCTTGATAACTAAAAATGAATTTTGTAAGTGACCTTAAAACGTCTGATGGAAGAATATTGGCTAATATTCCAGAAACGAATCTCATTGATATCATCACAGGAACAGAAAAAATCATTTTTCCTTGGGTGAAAATCAAGGGACAAAACATGCGAAGAATGACCACTATATGCCTGCAAAGAAAAGGTTGGCTGCAAAGTAATAGTGAATGGTAAGTCCAGTAGCATTCAGAAAGCAGATATTATTTTCATACCAAGGACAGAAAAGGAAAGGTCTGCATTCAGAAGAGAATAACTTACATTAGCAGCATCCCACAACCGAACAGTTTTATCAAATGAAGATGTTGCCAGCTGAGTTGAATTCGGTCTGAAGCGAACATCAGTAATAATAAGACTGTGATCCTCCGGAGTTGTCTCTGTTTGCAGTGTCTCCATGTTCCACAGAACAACCTAATTACAAGAAATAGGATGATATCACATCAATACAGAATCATCAACTGCAGCTGATACATGAAAATTGAAATGCATCAAATAATTTAAAATAAAGTTAAAAAAGAAATATGTTGTACCTTTTTGTCATGTCCAGAACTAGCTAATAATTTCCCATCTGAAGAGAAATGACAGCAAACAACTTTGCTATTGCATTTGCGCATAGAACCAACTTCAGCAAAGGTAAAGCCTGAGAAGGGAAGCAATATAGCCAGCAACCTGGTCAACTTGAATGGTAAAAATTTATACAGATGCATGAGAACATGAGAATACCTTTCATAGCATCTGTATCATGCTCAGAAGGGTTCCTACCATCATCATCATCCTGTGGGGGAAATAATTCCACATTATCCTCTAAGAAGCCATCATCTCCAAAGTGTTCCACGTCATCCTGTGAGCTTAATGATTCTTCATCATCCTCTAAGAAGCCAATATCATCAAAGTTTGGCAAGTCATCCGGCAACTAGAAGGATATAAATTATTAAGAAACTGTGAAAAGACATTCTCCAAGTAACTTAAAAAGATTCAGCAGATTATTTATGTTTAATATATTCTTAGGAAACAACATTAATTTCAGAAAAGAACTGTGAAAAGACAAAACTTCCTTATTTCAGCAATTGCAAAAAATAATTAAAAAGGAGCGAACTCCTTTCCACTAGAATATTACAGTTACAAAATCTTAAATCTACACGTGCTGACAATTCGGGATGAAGCTTTTTAGCACACCAAACCACCTAGTTTGATCATGGAAGGTTTGTAATGAACGTTAGCATTTTTCATTTGAGTTTGTGCTATTTGAAAATGAAATTTCAGTTGTCTCAAAGCCACATCTCTGTTCATAAGTGTTGGATTAATAGAAGAAAAAAGAGGCAACGAGAAAATGAAGAAGGAAGACAGTGGAGAGTTCCTTAATTCTGGAAAAGGATTTTTTATTCAATATATCTCAGATACATTTATAATGATAAAATTGAAAGCATCCACGTAGCAATAGCAGTTTTCAGAAACCACTTATCAGTAGCAGTTTCCAGAAACGAGACTTGCTCCTAAAGTGTAGCAACTAATAAATTAAAATAAATTGAAATAAATTAAGGCAGTTATAAAAAACAAGTTTTAACACTCCTCCTTGTTTTTTGAACTGCAAATTCCAATCTTCTCTCTTAAGAATTCAAATTTGTTGATTGGAAGTGTCTTTGTAAACATGTCAGCCAATTGATCTTCAGATTTGCAGTAAACTAAGTTTACTTCTCCATTTTGCTGCATCTCCCTCAAAAAATAGAGCTTGATGTTGAAATGTTTAGTTTTTCCATGACACACGGGATTATTTGCAATTGCAATTGCTGCCTGATTGTCAATATAAACTTCAGTTTTATTCTTCTGCTGAATATGTAAATCACATAAAATCTTCTTCAGCCATAAAACTTGATTTACAGCTGCTGTTGCTGCTATGAATTCAGCCTCTGCAGTGGATTGTGCTACAATCTCTTGCTTCTTTGTACACC